TGTTGGGGCTGAATTCAGGAAAGGAAAGAAGCAAAGGCAGAGCAGACAGAAGGAGCTAACATCAAATCTGAAGCACAAAAAAAGGGATGTATCAAACATCTTTGGAGGACTTTTCAGTTTGCATTTCGGGTTTATACATTTGCAGGAGGAATTGATGAACGTGCAGAAAAGCTGACCCGAGAACTAGCTCGTGAAATTGAGAATGATCCTCATCACAATTCTGTAATGTAACAAACATTAGTACATCAACACTGAAAGATCAACTAAATCGTCCTAAATTTTTTGGAAGGGAGACCTTCATGTAAATGCTTCTTTTGTCTATTAAGTTAATTAACTAGAGCTATAGTTTAGTACTGCTTCAGGAATTTCAAGCAGTCTTTGGAGGAACCATAAAAAGCTCCGTCCACCTGAGATTGTAAGATATGATTTTTGAGCTATAATCTGGTGATGGTACTTCGTCGCCGAACTGTCACATAATTTTTCTTTCTGGTTAATTATTAATTGTGTCAAGTAGGCTGTGAATGGCATTGCCTTCAAATCTTTTATAAGACAATCGATTTTTCGGATTATAAGTCTACCATTTTCACCATTATTATCTCATCTTTACAGTAATTAAGACCTAGAGATAAGAAATTAAAGAGAGCATGACACAGGATTTTACGTGGTTCAGTCTGTCAATGTGACTAAAACTTCCACGGGCAGGATTTTACGTGGTTCACCATTATTATCTCATCTTTACATCCACGGGCAGGATCGGAAAAACATCCACTATGTCAGTAGTAAGGTACATACAGTTTGCTGTCTGGAACTCCTGTACAATTTATTCTAAAAGTCCTACATCCATAAAAGTTGCTCCAAATTCTTCCTCCAGAAAAGCTGGGATCTCTAGTGATAATTCTCTGCCATTCAATGGAAGCCGGTCCAATCAAGATTTCACCAAAGCTCGTGTATCCGATCCTGCCAATTAGCCTCCTCTGCAAGTGACTTTCCTGGATGGAAGCCGGTCCAATCAAGATACCACCAAAACTCGTCTATCCAACCCTGCCAATTAGTCTCCTCTGCAAGTGACTTTCCTGGCGGCTTCAGCTGTGCTGCTGGCTCCGACATGGTAAGTATATCACATTCTTCTACGAGCTGCTGCTGTTGCTGCTGCAACGTTTTCTGCTGTGATGTCTGCTCTGAATTCAGGGAGAAGTCTTCTATCCTACCCTGCCAATTACCCTCCTGTGCTTGTTGCTCCTGTGGCTGCTTCTGCTGTGCCTCTGGCGCCTCTGACATGGTGTGTTTATCATATTCTTCCAAGGGCTGCTGCTGCTGGAAGGTTTGGTGCTGTGGTTCTTGCCATGAATTCATCTCAAACATACCATCTAATTCCTCAGCAAAATGTTTTTCATATTCATCTAAGAGCTGCTGCAGCGTTCGCGGTTGTACCTCTGTCTCTGGTTCAATCTCCAACGTAGTATCTAATTCTTCAGCATAAGGTTGACCAAATTCTTCCAATGGCTGCACCAGTAGTGGCTGTTGAAGTTGTTCTTGAACTCCACCACATACATCTGACCATTCTGATTCAGTACGATTAATCTGCTCTGTTTCTTGAAGATTTTCGTTGTTGCACAAAATGAGGACATCATGTGGTTCTTGAAATGATCTTTCATCGGCTACACCAGTCTTCTGTCTTTTTAATGGCGGTATCTGCGGAACAGGTCCTCCGCAGAACAACTGCGACTGTGATGGCAGCCGATCAAACGAAATCGAAGTCGATGCAACCGGTGGCATGAATAAAGGTTCCTTGCCATTGTACCGAATCCTACAAAGAACCCATTCTTTGACGTTCTTTCGATCCAACACGTACTCATGCATGATCCAATCCGTCTTGGTGCCTTCTTGTTTCCGATTCCCCTTCCCCTGTTTCTGCTTGTTTTCACCTTTCACAAAGAAAGTTAAAGACTTCACGTACCCAACAACTCCACCTCCCTCGTCCATAATAGGCTTATCTTCCGTGTTGGCGTGCCACCACCCTTGACCGGAATCAATAGTCCGTTTGGGCCTTGTTCCGTCATCCTTTCCAGAAAGCGGTTTCCTCTGGACAAAGAAATAACGCTCGTTTCCATGAAAGTATGTATTGCTGGCCGGATCCCAGGGAAGAAGCCATGGTTCCTGCTTGTAAATGTCGTAGACAGTAATCGAAGGATGCTGATGATGATAATCTTTCTCATGAATCATACTCCATAGATGGAAAATGAGTTCGGAATCGGTGGGAAAGAACCGGCAGCCTAAAGGGATATCGGAATCGGTGGGAAAGAACCGGCAGCCTAAAGGGATATCGGAATCAAAACTAGAAATCAAGAATGCCATTACGATGAACAAAATCAAGAAAGT